ATAACAACACATTCAGTGTAGGACAACACTCCAGTAGTCAATTACATGCCAGGGAGACAGAAAAGTGGGTGAAGAATTTATCTGACAGACAGGTCACCCAGCCGGAGACAGAGATTCTTGCCAGGGGACTGAACTTTGCGGTTGCACCAAGTAGAATTCCTCTGGTGGAGATGATCACAGCCATAGAATCAGCCATCCGCAACAACAAAATGAAAGAGGCTGAAGCAGAACAGCTCAGAATCAAAGTTTCAGCCTGCCTCAGCAATGCCAAACCACCACCTTCCAACATCAGTAGAGAGGAGAGGGATGCACTCACCACTCTTAGCAAGGACAAAAACATCATCATTCTCCCAGCAGACAAAGGAAGGTGCACAGTGATTTTGAACCAGAAAGACTATCATGAGAAAGTTATGACACTCCTTAGTGACTTAACCACTTATGAACCTCTGAAAAGGGATCCAGGAAGTGGTTACAAGAAGAAGTTAATAGATTGCCTGAAAAATTTGGAGCAGGACAAGGCTATTGACCGTATTCTGTACCACAGACTGTACCCAGGGGAGGCCACACCTAGTCTGTATGGTTTACCTAAAATCCACAAACAAGGTGTACCTTTAAGACCTATTGTTAGCATGATTAACTCTGTCACTTACAATGTTTCCAAATATCTGGCGTCTGTACTCATCCCTTTAGTTGGCAGCTCAGAACACCACATACAGAACACCATGGACTATGTGGATAAGGTGAGGGATGTCATCATGGAGACTGATGAAACAATGGTCTCTTTTGATGTCACATCACTTTTTACGTGCATTCCTGTTGATGATGCAGTAGAGGTGGTCAGTTTAAGATTAAAATCAGACACCACTCTGAGCAGCAGGACCACGCTTTCCACAGAACAACTGGGTCAACTCTTGAAACTGTGCCTACAGTCAACCTATTTCACATATGGGGAGCAATATTATAGGCAGAAACATGGGTGTGCTATGGGGTCTCCAGTTTCTCCTATTGTTGCCAACCTGTACATGGAGGAGGTAGAAAAGAGAGCCTTGATGTCCTTCTCAGGGACACCACCAAGTCATTGGTTCAGGTATGTTGACGACACCTGGGTTAAAATTAAATCTCAGGAAGTCCAACATTTTACTGACCACATCAACTCTGTGGATAAATACATCAAGTTCACACGAGAAGATGTAAAAAATGACAAGTTGGCTTTCTTGGACTGTGAGGTCTCAGTCTCTGATAGAGGACTTTTGCAAACCGAGGTGTACCGCAAACCCACCCACATAGACCAGTATTTGCAGTTTGACTCCCATCACCCTTTGGAGCACAAGTTAGGAGTCATCAGGACTCT